CAGAATGGACAGGATCAGGATAAGGAAGCGAGATGGACAGGATCAGGAATGTTGAAGGAATGGAAGCCACTCGGGAAAAGACTCGTCATGGCTAGATTTATGTTCAAGTACACTATTGTCACGTGCTACGTACCCATAGAAGATGCTAAGGAAGCGAGAAAGTGAAAGACCGCTACAGAAAAATATACCGAAACTAGACACGGAAGTGAAGACGATGGCCAAAAGGGACAAGAAGGAATAAATCGAGAACCTAACCGAAAAGGTAGAAGAGGCTGAAGCAGGGCAAGACCTTAAGACACTGTATATTGTCGGGAAGACGCTCAGGGTGTATACAGCAGTGGAAACATGTCTGTTAAGGATGGAAAGGGCAAAGTTTTATCTCGGGCAGAAGACCTGCTGAAGAGATGCCAAGAGCAATTCCGCAGTATCTTCAATCCACCAAAACCTGAAAATACGGTTTCGATACCCGAAGCCACTCAAGACACCGACACAAACACCAAACCGCCGTCAGTCCATGAGACTAAGATGACCATCACAGAAATGAGAAAGACAAAGCGCCTGGAGCATACGGCATGAGCATTGAATTTATAGAAACTGAAAAATCCCTCCTTCTGAAGATTTTCCATGAAATCTGGATTTCCCGCGGTAGACTGGCTTGATCGTGAAGCTTGCGAAACAGGAGAACTCTCGATTCTCACATAAAACAAGCAAAGTATTCAGTTAATTCATACAACAACGCATAACCTCAGCCCTGGAGAACACCATTCATAATGAGCGAGTTGGCTTCCGCATAGGGAGATCTTTTGGTGACCACATCTTCACCCTTTGTCAGATCTCGGAACAGGCGAGGGAATGGAGTAGCACAAAGCTATAGACTTTGAAAAAGCGTTCCACTAATCCACAGAGAAACGCTATAGTGCATCTTAAAACACTACCGAATGCCATCTAAGATAATGAATATCGTTAGGATGCTGTACTTCCACGTATTGCTATGCTTAGTTCATCTGCGAAAACAAGTTTACAGCGCTTTTCTCCATCCAAACCGCTGTAAGGCAGGGTCACATATACTCCCTGTTTCTATTCTCTCTTGGTGCCTACTGGGTCATCAAAAACGCAGCCAAAGTTCAACGAGGCATCCGATTACTCTCTCAAACATGTTCAGCGACCTCGATTTTGCAGATTACATCTGCCTCCTAGTCCACTGTCGTACACACATGCAGGCCAAGACCACAGACCTAAAATTCATAACTGCTAAGCTTGGACTCAAGTTCAAACGACGAAACCCAAGCAAGCGAATACACGAGAATTAACCACCGCCCAGACGCACCGATCATCCTGCATGGAAAGGTAGTCCAAGAAGTTAAAGATATCTTGTACCTTAGCTCCAAGATGACCAGTGATGGAGATGCAGGGTCCGAGATCAATGTGAGGATCTTCAAGACAGGGGAAGCTGGCGGGCCTTTATGGTTTGGGATCGAAGAAGGCAAAAAACAGGAGGCAGTGGCGGTCTCTGGTAATGGTCTTATGCGCACAAGGGCACAAAGAGCATTGAGCTGAGCTGAGCCCTATTATTGGTGAGCCGACATCCCAACATACGACTTTCAATAGAGATGGAAGCCGATCATTTTTTTTTTTTTTTTGTCTTTTTAAACTCGGTAACACTGACCCTCATTCTATCGTCACTAGTACCGTTCGGAAGAAAACATTTACGCGTTTACTTACCAGTTAATTTAGCTTTGCACCTCTGTCTTATATCAAATCTGCAGCGTCCTTTTCATCTTCCTAAAGTTAAAGTGAACTTTAATTTTTAATTTTCAATTTTTTTCTGCTATCATACACTTACACCACTATCATTTTACCATCAGGAGTGCGGTTAGACTCTCGGCTTCAAGAATGCCAAGAAGCTCACTGGAAACGATCATTTCCAGATCTTGATTATGCGTTCTTTGGGTACGACGTCTTAAAAGGATATCCACTGGCATCAGGACATGATCCTGGCTTCACTCACCCAATCTTTCTGTCAAAGTATTCATCCAGCAAGCAGACATCTGACTGTCGCTACAGTGTTCCCGAGGGGCTGATTGTCGTACCTGATGTGTCGTGTGTAACCTCGTTTTCCTCCAAAGTGATTCGAAACAAAGTGGAGATGTCCTCGTCTCTTTCCGCATCAGCTAACGTTGAAGGTGCGTCTCCAAGTAAATGCAGCCTGCCGGGACAAGCCAAGTCTAGCCCGCGAACGCAGACGTATTTCCCCCTGTCGCTTGGCTCCGCCGAAGCGACAGCGACAAGCGACAAAGCGACAGCCGGAAATACGTCTAACTGTCTAACTGCGCCCACATTAATCTTGGAACCTTTTTTGGACAAAAACCGAGTAATTTTGAATCTTGACAACCGTCATAGAGAAGCGTAAACAAAATCATGTTACTTCTAGAACAAGAGATGGTCTTCTATTGATCCAGAATGAAGAAGTCAATGAAGTTGTCGATCTTTTTAAATGCGACATTAACGTTCTACTTTTAACTTACACACAATCAATCAAAACCTTAAAAACTGATACTAATATGAAATGATTTTCCACAGGAGGGGGATGGGGCTTCAAGTTTTCCGCCAGCGCAAGCTACAAAGAATCCGTTGCCCAGATGTCGTCAGGGGAGTTCCTGTACATAATTTCACAGGCGCAGTGTCGTTATTACTTTAGCAAACTTGATGCCACTGATCCGCCGCCATTTCATCCAGGGTTTGTGACCTGGGCGAAGAAACTGGCTTCCTCTGATGCTGGTCAAGACGACCTCGTTCAGTTCATAGAATACTTTGGAACTCATTACGTGTCAGAAGTGACTTTTGGAGCACGATTCATGAAACAGCATAGAGTCAGCCAAACGAAATATAAAGAACTGAGAGAGAAGTCAGTAAGTGTAGAGGCACAAGCCAGCTATTCTGGTATGTTCAGTGTTGGAGGAGGCTTTTCATTGGATTCAGAGCAGAGATCCGCCGCTTCCAACTTTCAAAAGTCCGTGGAAACCAGCACTATAACTGTGGGAGCAGCTCCTCCTAGTAATGGTGATGCTATGACTTGGGCTTCATCCGTTCAGGAAAACCCAGTTCCAACAAAGTACTCTCTATCACCCGTCTATGACCTTTTCACTGAAAGGTACGCCGAGTATCTTCCTGGGATTGATCTGAACGCCATGCGAGAGAAACTGATTAACACTTCAAGGAATTATTGTCGGATTTTGAGAGGAAAGGGAGAGATAGATTCATGTGATGATAGCATTAATCTGGGGACAACTCTTCAAGGCGTCGACGTATCATCATTTGGTAAATATTATCACTAGGTTTTGTAGTGTTATTATTTGATCCATTTTCCCCCTCCTATCATTGATAAACAGGGTCTAAACATTGTTTAGTTAATTTTTCACTTGTTGGCAAAATAATGCTCATCGCAATTATTTCTCGCGTGGTTTTTCTTGAGAGATCGAGAGGAAACAAAATTATTTGACGAATGATCAAATGTTTAGCAATCGGAAACCACATTTTCGTGCGTTTCAGCCTTTGAATCCTCAATTATCACGCTTTTCTCAGTTATTATGAGAATGTAGTGTGTAGACTCAAACTTGTAAGGTTGTCTAGGACTTTTCTAATGTAAGAAAAGAAAAAGAAATGGTGATTGATTCTGTAGAAAATTTAATTGTCCAAATGAAAATTTAGCAGTGCTACAAGGAAATTTTAAACATTTCTTAAAAAGAATCTGTGTAGACTCGTAAAATTTTAGGGGTTTTATTAGGATTTTTCTAATGTTATGAAAGAAAATGAAAATTTAATGTTTAAATTTGGTGATTGATTCTGTAGGAAATTAAATTCTCCAAATGAAAATCTAGCAATGCTACAAGGAGATTTAAACTTTTCTTAAAATGAATCTGTGTAGGACAAATTGTCAAATTGTTTAACTGTCGAACGTTTTGTTTTCCTTTCCTTATGTGTGAATAGACAGCAACCAACCTGAAAGCTCTGCCACTTAATTTGGCTGCTGTGCGCGTATTTTAAACTAATACATTGCTTAGTTTTAACCTACAGTTTGTTTTCTGTAGTGTGAATGCAGGAAACAATATGTGAATATAATGTGAATACAGATTTGATGTTATTTGATTTGAGCAAGAAATTCTGAGTAAACTTATATTTGCTACATGTACGTCCCTGTAGTGCTGTTTTAAGTATCATTTTTTTCAATTCCTTGTAAGTTATCCATTATGGACATATTAACCGACGTCACGCATTTCCCTCTTTTTTCATTCAAATAAAATATAAACCTCACCGCTCGATTTATTATGCCGAATTCGATGAATATGCGAGGTTTCATAAGAATGGGTTGCAAACTCATAAAAGTATAGGAAGTCAAACTTGGCCAATTTTTTTCTTTTCTCGTAAAAATTGGCAAGTTTGGAGTCCCATATTTTCATTGCTTTGCGACGGATTGCTATGAAACTTCGCCCATTTACTAAATTCGACATGATACACTGACCTATGCAGGTTTTTTTCCTTTGTTCAGCATCAAAAATACAAAAAATTGGTTACATTGCCTGACATGGGTAGAAAGGTCTATTGGTGTTTTGGAGAAACAGGAAGTGATACGTTCGTCGTTCCCGGGCGGGGGGGGGGGGTATCCATGTTCACTGTATTCCTTAAAAACTTAACTTCTTCTCCCTTGTTCCCTAATATTAAAGTCCATTGTTGCCTAAACGTTTTCTCAAAGTTCCCTTTAATAGTAGAGATATCTCTTGTTCCCCACAGCAAGAGAATATGATCTGCCTAAAGTTAATCCCAAAAATACCCTTGAAAATACCCTTGCTCCCTTGAAATATCGTCATGTTCCCGTTGTTCTCCAAAACCTCTGCGAGACCCTCCCCCTCATCGCCGTGGCGTATCAGTTGAAAATATAATCCTTTGAAAAAATCAGAGTGAAAGCGTCTACGTAAATGGCTACCTTCTGCTAGAATTGACAGAACCCAGATGAAAAAGTTTTTGTCACAAGGAGTCGAGAGAGCACTTGCATCCAGGGCTTTTTCTCGTAACACTGAAGTTGGCATTTACTGTGCCAGGATTTATTTAGTTGATGAAGGTTTAATTTTAAAAAAATCCCTTCCTCGTCCCCAGACGCCGCACTCCTAAGAGTTTTGGTGGGCGGCCTCTAGCGAGGGAAATGCAAAACCAATGAGGGCTGTGATGTGAGACTTTTAGGGACGGACAATTATTCTTTTTGAGGGAGTGGGGTCAGGGCTTTCAGTTGCCTGTTGTCTACAGGAGAGAACAACAGAACATTTTGTATCTGTATCATAAAACAACAAATTTTAATAAAAGTTACAAGTTGCACGTTAATTAAATATTTTTACATTCAGAGTTTACTTAACTAATATCCGCTTAACCCACAAAAAGCAAAAATAATAATCTAAGGCAGGGTGAAGTGAAGAATAAATATCAGAAATTCATTTGGACAAATTTGGGTATACATTAAACGAATCTGAACCGTGTAGTATAACTGGAAGGTGTTCAAAGATGCTTGAGCTCTCTCCACGTACGACTCGTGGATACCTCGCGTGACTCGTGGTGTCCTCGCGTGCCTTGCAAAACTGCATGTGTGCCGTGCAATTTATTTCCAGGAGCCGCTTTTGTATCAAGACTAGTTGAATGAGATCACTGAAAGGTTATAAGGTATTCTGGGTAGCACTGATTATCAAAGAAAACAACAAAGATATTAGGACTTTCACACTGATCTACAACAGAGTCGTACAGCACTTCTGGCCTGGAAGGATCTTTTGGTGGAGGTACAATCAAATCAAAGTCTCCATCGCAATACTGACCAACCAGGACCCGCGCGAGGTACATGTAGCGATTTCCACCCGGAACCCCTGCATATCGAACTGAATAAGAAGCATCTTTTGCAAAATACACACCACGTCCAAGAATTCCACCTGCAAAAGTAATCCAGACAATAACTTACAAACTTTAGAAAAACATCTGTACTGCTTTAAAAGCTAAAGAGCTGGCTCCAACAGCAATTTGATACCATAACCTCGTCTGTGAAACTCACTTTTTTACCCCCATGTAATTTCTAAGAAAGGTTACGTCTACATACGAGCCAGTGGCTCATCAGTAAAGTCGCATTATACCCAAGAACGTCAACACAGTGTCTCCAGCCAAACCGGGAGCACTGGATCCAGAGTAGAGCGCACAAATCATGAGGCCACTGGGCCTCCACCCAGTTTTAAGAAAACTGGACTGGCCACCATTTTAAGGTTTGTATCAATGCCACCATGTCTTTTGGATCATACATAAGTTAATTTATTTCATGTCCTCTTGGGTCTTTCAGTGAAATATATAACAAGATAAAAGGATATAGGGTAAAACAAAACACAATAAAATTAGTCATATGTAGCTTAAAATAGTCAGCAGTATAATGTAAAGTAAATTGGTCAAACATAACAAGCTTAATATGTTTTGGGAGAGGCAAGTGCAAATAACTGTTATTTTGAAGGCCTGTCTCACACAAAGGGGAATATACGCTGAAATATACCTCTACACATTATTATCAGAATTTAAATGGGCATTCTTGCTATTGGTCGTGCTAAATACTAATTCCCTGCAACTCACCATGGAGTCTACAGAAGCTCCGGTTAAAACCTTGTGCATTGATACGGCTGATATTTTCTCCTCTGGTTCCATGGAAGAGTTGTCGTTCACCCTCAACTCCTCCATTGTCTTGGCTCATTTTCAATTTTTTCAACATGTAAGTCTGATACAGATGAGGATTTTGTATTCATTCAATTTTCTGGACATTTAGTGCACTTGCAGTGGCTTGCAACTTGTCCATGACATCTTGATACTCTGAGGAGTCTGAGGAGAGCTGTACTGTGTGCACAGTTGTGTTAGGGTGTGGCATTGGTGTCCAATTCTCAGGAAAAATAAATCCTGGTTCAGCGTAAAAAATGGTAAATTATGATATTAAATATTAATATCATCTTTATCTTGTGTATCTTCCTCGTAGTACCCAGCTAACATTAACTAAGTAGGCTGAAATAGTGTGTATATAATATTTAATTTCGAAAATCATTTTTGACAATACAGTAGAAATTCCCTTTATGGCCACCTCTTTAACACAGTCACCTCGTTGTTACGGCCACTTTTTTGTCCCAGAAAAATGCCCATACAATTTTTATAAGAAAACCCCATGAATACATGCAGTCAACCCATTAATTCAGGGTGGCAACAAAACAAATAATGGGAAACAAAATTAAAAAATACTCTTTTCTATTCAAAGTGCCTCACATTTCATGTCATTATTTCCATGGTTATGAAAGGACTACCTCTTGAGATATCTAAACCTAAATTAATTAGAACATGGTCATCAGTACAAATTTATCACATACATATAAATATTTTAGCTTGTAGGATGCTGTCTTGTAGTCATGACATTATTTGATACCTGCATGCATATCACTCAGTGTGAGATTAAGGGTTTAGAGGCAGGGGGAACGGAAGGCTATCCCGTCTCTGCCAAAATATATTTTTCTATCAGCCCAAACCCTGGGGGGAACTCCCATATATGGGGGTGCTTGTCATACCTTTAAGGGATTAAAAAAGTGGATTTCATATCTCTTAGGGTCTTCAGCCTCAAAAGGTCCACAGCAGGAGCTTTTGCAGTGCATGTTAGGCATTACGCAAAAAAAAATATTACAGGGGATAATGTGTTGTTTTAGAATTGGTACCTTTTAGGGTTGAAAACAATTTCAAGCCACACCCACAAAGCATTCAAAGCAGGATCTTGGGACTTCTTAGAGATCTTTCCAAAATTTCCAACGAGAACCCTCGTCCTTTTTCATGTGGGAGTCCGCTGACCTCCCCCCGCGCCCCAACCCAAATGATTAATGTAGGCACAGATTACCAAGACGGTGTGCATTACCAATGACTATTACCAGTACAAATATTAAAAAATGATTTCCAGTCCATACTGCGCAGTCTCAGCACCCTAATGTTTGTAAGCATTATGTCTCACTTGATGGAATGCAAATCAACATTATTTGTTGCAAACCACATACCTTATCTTTGAAGCCTTTCAAATTCTTTTTCCAACCGTTTCATTGATTTTTATGGCTGCGAAGTTCATTCATCAAGTGATACGAGACAGAGCAAAACATAAAGCTTCACATCCATAATGGCGGTTGACATGAAACTTTAAATTTACTTCACGTAATTAGACGCAAAATGTTACATTTTATGATGTCTTACATGAACCAACACAAAAAACGTAAACAAACTCTCGAGAGTGTGCAGTACGGATTGAAAATAATCTTTAATCACAATAACAATCACAATAACCTGCAGGTTGATCAGAGGATCTCAACCACTTCCTGGTTAGTATTATGTGTTCACCAGTCTGCTGCCCCTGGCCAGTTTTAGTCATCAGATCAATAATAAACACTTCTCCATGTAGGCTTACGTCTACTCTGGGTTCATCTTTGTAGTATGCCATCTCAATCTTTTCCTTTGTTTCCTGATCACATAATATTTTAGTCCCATGTCTTTCATAACTCCATTCTGTGCTCGCTAAATCTGGACCGGTATGTTGTCCTCCACCAAGCATAATGTTGAAAGCTTCACCGAGTACACTCGAATTAATTTGTTACCTGCAATAGCACGTAATTATATTACACATGTATATCATTCATTCCAATTACAACGAAAACATACATTAGAATATACATCAGAGCATTTGATTTCGAGCCGGAAGGGATACTTCGATTCGGTTCGAAGCTAAGTTTATGCTAAGAAACGGGGAAAATTTACTAGTGTTTATTGAATGTCGGAAACTGTAGGACATTTAGGTGCGGAGGCTAAAATGAAAATTCTACGTGTATCGCAACGTTTTAGCATTCGATCATGGACTAAAAATAACAACTCTGTATAGTTGTTTACATCCCTGACATCCCTTTGTCCTGCCTAAATAAAATGTCACGCAAACTCAGAGCGATAGCCAGTGTATAAACAACAAAACATAGCGAGGTGGCTGAGGAGTGTTAAGGAATACATGAGACAAACCCAGAACTACATACGTAAGTTAGATGATATCTTCATGTCCTTATATTATACTGTGCTGTAGAACGATCTAGATGAGGTATCATTCACGAATCACGCAAGCCCGTGTCAAAAACCACGTACCACCAAACAGGCACGGAAATACGTTGTTATTGAGTAGAAACCTAACCTAAAAAAAAGTAGTGGCTTACCTTCAGGTAAGAAGAAATAAAACCCCGAGGGATCGGCTACACGTAGGCTATGAGGGATCAGGCAATCAAGGAAGTGCATGCCGCCACATGAAGCTTATTTTTTTGGTGCCACGTGACCTGACATCATGGGTGATAACGCTGGTCATGCAGTGTGTTCACGTGACGTCATCAAATTCTCAAATCCAAAACTAAAGTCATCCTCATCAGGAAATAAAAAGGCTAAAAAGCTAAAATTACAATTAAACGTAAACTTACAATGATTTTAAAATGCTAAAATTACAACTTAATATACATTTATCTCGTGATTTTTAGCCATTTTAGGAGTTAAAATATTAGGAGTGCTTGTGTAAATGTTTTTTGGTTCTGTTCAGATAATCAGACAACTAGATAACCAAAGTAAGTTTTCCGGCCGCGATATTGGAGGACTAAGGAGGTCCACCAACATGGCGGGGGGCTCTATAATTTTGCGCGGAACATTTCGACGAATATCTCAACTTTGGGACAACGCACACAGCTTAAACTTGGAGAAATTTCTCCTTTATTCACTTTCTATAATATCACAATCTTTATTGCGTAACAATGCACACACTACCAGATCCCGCTCGTCCCGCGCCCGCTTTTTCGACCTTCGCCACTGACCGAGAGCCTGGAGTGAGCTAGAACACCTTATTCCCGTAGATCTACTCACTCCTGGGTTCCCTGTACGTGAACCTTCCTCTTTTTAACCTCAACGCTTTGGGCTGGATTAATGACATCATAAAGTCAAGTGAACTTTCTTGCCGAAACATTAGCTTAACAGAAGTGATCTTTA